TGGTGCCGGGGGGAGGGGGGGTGGGGGGGGGCAGTGGCCCCTCCCGGTCACAAGAGCCCCTGCCCCTACACCTGGCGCAGGTAGTGGATGACATTGATGTGTGGGGAGCAAGGTGGTGCCATTCTGGGCACCAGCACCTTGGCACCTAATGCAGCAGCTTGGATCCCCCTGCCTAGATGCTTTGTTTCTCTTTGGCTCAGGTGTGGCTGGTCCTTGGGGGAGCAACCTGGTCGCTGTGGATGCGCTGAGCCACGATGCTTGCCTGGGGCAGACAAATGTGTATTGGCTTCGCGGGCTACTGCAAACCCTTTTTCAGAGGCCGATTCCTGCGTGAGCTGCGGGGCTCTCCTGGCAACTGGGGACACCCTGCAGCAGACATGGGAAATGAGGAAGGACCCATCCAGGAAACGGGAGCTGAGCCGCACAGGTCTGTCTACTGTGAGCTTGTTTGTTAGCCAGCATCTGTAATGTACGAGCGGTGGGCAGGGCATCTGTTGCTCACAAAGAACCAGCCTTTGCCCCACCTCAAGACAGAACCCAGCGGATTACAGTGGATGAGGGACACCCTGCAGCAGACATGGGAAATGAGGAAGGACCCATCCAGGAAACGGGAGCTGAGCCGCACAGGTCTGTCTACTGTGAGCTTGTTTGTTAGCCAGCATCTGTAATGTACGAGCGGTGGGCAGGGCATCTGTTGCTCACAAAGAACCAGCCTTTGCCCCACCTCAAGACAGAACCCAGCGGATTACAGTGGATGAGAAGCCGGATATTAATCAATGGTGCCCTTGTAGCCAAGAAGGCTAACGGCATATTGGGGTCTATTAGTAGGAGCATTGCCAGCAAGTCAAGGGAAGTGCTCGTTCCTTTTTATTCAGCACTGGTGAGGCCGCCTCTGGAGTATTGCGTCCAATTCTGGGGCCCCCATTACAGAGAGGATGTGGATGCGTTGGAGAGAGTCCAGCGGAGGGCAACCAAAATGATTAGGGGGCTGGACTTGCTCTTCATGTCATCAGCTTATCTTCCTCCGCCTTCTCATTTGGGTGACCGAAATGATGAGGGGGCTGGCTGAGCCCTGCTTATAGGAGAGGCTGAGGGATTTGGGCTGTTTAGTCTTCAGAAGAGTCGGGGGGATTTGACAGCAGCCTTCAGCTATTTGCAGGAGGGTTCCTAAGAGGATGGCGAGAGGCTGTTCTCAGTGGTGACAGGTGGCAGAACGAGAAGCAATGATCTCAAGTTGCAGTGGGGGAGGTCTAGACTGGATATTAGGAAAAACTATTTCCCTGGGAAGATGGGGAAGCACTGGGCTGGGTTCCCTAGGGAGGGGGTGGAATCTCCATCCCTAGAGGTTTTTACATCCTGGCTTGACACATCCCTGGCTGGGATGGTTTAGTTGGGGTTAATCCTGCTTTGGGCAGAGGGTTTGTCTCAGTGGCCTCCCGAGGTCTCTTCCAGCCCTAGGATTTTACGATTCATGCAGGACCCATTGACCTATTTATCTGGTGTAAATGCAGTGAGGGGCGTCTTCATGTCTGGCTCTGCCAGCCAGTGATTTCTGCAGCTCTTAAGTAGGGATGTTAAGTATCGGTTAATTAACTAATTGAGTAGCCGATGGAATTTCCATCGATTAGTCGATGGGGGAAGGGGTTGCTCCTGCTGCGGTTCTGCACTTTAAATGTAGTAAGAGCCCAGATCTGCCGCCCCTGCCCCACACTGTGGAGACGATGTGGGAGGGAACTGGCTTTTAAGCTGGCTCCCCCCCCAGCTCCTGCTCCCCCCCCCCTTTGCTGCCTCTGATACGGGGGGGCGGGGAAAGTAATTAGTCGAGTACTCACTTGATTATCCAATAAGCCTGTGCTTGTCCAGTGGTCGAGAACTCAGCTAGTTGCTCCTATCCTTACTCTTAAGCCTGACCTGCCGACACCTTTGGGTGGGAATAGAGTGCTGGAAACAGCACATGGGGTCTACTCGACATGTATTATAGTTGTGTAGGGGACCCCACTATGCTGGGTAAATCCACATGCAGAGCCTGAGAGAGGGTCTGTCCTGACCAGGTCAGATCCAGACAAAGGAAGATGGAGACGGAGGCCTAGAGAGAATGTGAGATGCCCAGAGATGTCAGTGGTAGAGCTGGGGCATGTACCTAGCTCTCCCAGATCCTGCGCAGTGGTCTAATGATTTGGTGAGCATTCCTCTGGTGCATGAAGCTCTTCC